CTTTCTCTTTTCTTTCTTCTTTCTTCTTCTCTACTTTGACCTAGAAACAACTAGGGTTTATTCACAGATTGCAGCTTTAGAAGCTTTCTGAATCCTCCCCTGGCAGCAGGTACTGGGGGAGTCCTTTTTGTCTTCAAATGGCAGATTGCCGTGGGCTTTCAGTGGCCCCAGTCCAGTTACAGATGCCTTGGAATCTGAGGTGCAAGCCCTCCTTGTTGGGTTGTGGGTTGTTTACTCTTTTCAGGCTTCAACCATTTTGGTGGAGGGAGGCTCCAGAAATGCGATTAATTGGGTTAAATCTGGTGGAACTGGTCCTTGGAGGCTTGCTTACCTCCTATCAAAAGTTCATGAGCTGTCTTCTTTTCTACTTTGCAGCTACAGATGGATTCTTAGGGAATTAAATCAAACAGCTAATTTTTTGCTAGATCTGGTGTGGGCTGGGATTGTACGTACATAGTACAGTGCAAATAGTCTTCCATTTTTTTTATAACGCTGTTGTTTTGTCCTTTTGCTCTATCAGTTTGTATATCTCCTCATATACATCCCCTCCCCCTTTTTGTTTAATGAAAGTTAACTTTTCCTCAAAAATATCCATCTCAGCCCTTTTTTCTGCATTTATTTTGTTTTTAGCCATTTCCATCATTAATACCAATAATTCTTGTTTTTTAAACTTATTTTTGTTTAATATGATGAATACATAATATTATAGACATGGTTAATCTTTTCTGCAATTTTTGCACTTTTCTGTATTTTCTGCAATTTTATCTATTTTTGTATTTTTAATATTTTTATTATGTAATTTATGACATTATGGATTGATCCATTTAACCCAGATAGTTGAACTACTGATCTGATACCTGAAGGGAAAAGCAGTTCCATTTTCTGGTCATTTTTAAAACATTGGTTCTGTGTTGCTACATATTTGATGGTTGGAGTGTAGAATTGTATGTGGTGAGTCTTAGTTTTGTCTATGTCATATTTGATGCTACATATTTTCTGGTCATTTTTTAAAACATTGGTTCTTTGTTGCTACATATTTGATGGTTGGAATGTAGAATTATATGTGGTGACTCATAGTTCTGTCTATGTTATAGTGATGTTATTATGTAAACTTTAGTCTTTTTAGTTTGATTACTGTTGAGTCCATTATTACTTGTTATTTTGTTGCACTTTTTAATTTCATTTGACTTGTGGCCTATCAATCCATATCATCTTTTGGTTAGTAAAGATTATAGAGCATCTGTTTATAATTCTTCCTTTTCCAATTCATACTATTATGAATCTCTCTTTTTTGCCTCTCAATAGAATGTGGATGCTGTGAACTACTTCCATGTGAAGGTTGCTGGCTTATTGTTTGTTGCAACCACACGAGTTAATGTGTCACCTTCTCTTGTGTTGGAGCTCCTGCAAAGAATTGCACGTGTAATTAAAGACTACCTTGGGGTTCTCAATGAAGATTCGTTACGAAAGAACTTTGTTCTTGTTTATGAATTACTTGATGAAGTCATTGTGAGTTTCTTCTTGTTCTGTCTTCTTTCATATGGAATCTTTATATCATTCTGTTCTCAAAAAGAACAAAATTTTTTTGTCTCATGTTTGGTTTAATGTCTGCCATTAATTTTTCTAATTCACTAAAATTTGCTGTTCAAATTGACAAGTATACTTAAAATTGCAAACCAATCATCCTCCATTGCCAATTCTGTGCTTATCCCTTGATATTTAAATATTTTAGCTTGTTAATTACGTGGTATTTTTTTGATAGGTAACTAAATTTTCATTAAATAGACAATAATATACAGAAAGTGATACAACCGGGGAGTGAATACCCCTTAGAGCATGTGTAACAATTAAGTCCTATGCAATGACAATTATGTGGTATTAGGTTGGTTCATTTCTGCAATGACAATTCTTATCATTATAAGGCATTTTTCTTTATTTTCAGGTTTTTCTGTATATAATGTCCATCAGCATATTTTCCAATGAAGGAACCATTAATCCACACTTTTTTTTCAATAACTGGTTTCGTTTATTAAAATAACAGAGTATACATTTTATATGTATAGAATAGTAAGTTTTTCTTTACATTCCTAGAGCCCACCCAGTGCTGCTCACCCCATTCTATATTTGGCATTCTGGTTTTGATTTACAATCAGATTATTCAAAAGGATAGGACCCCAAACCATCTTTTGTCAATTCATTCATTGTTGAGCTAGAGAATCAGCAATAGAGTTAGAAGATTGAGGGATCCGCTTGCTAGATGCTTCCATTTTACTTGTCATATGACTTACTTCTCAGATCATATGCCTCAGGTGCCATGAACCTTCTCTTTCCCCTTTCATCCAATCTATGATTGGCTAGAGTCCCCTTATATAGTCAATGGTCTGAATTCTGAGTTCTTTGCTAATCATATACCATGAAGAAAATATAGCATCAACATTGTTGTCTTTGTATTTGAGAGTAGAAGAATTCTCTTTAATCTTGTTAGCTGAATTGTCTTTTATAGTGCTTTTTTCCATGGTTTTAAATTTCACTTTTGGAGTATATCTCAATTCTTTGGGAGATGGAAAAACATAGTAGACATGGCAGAAATGTATTAGTTATCAAAATGGTTTTAAAACTCAAACGGGGGTAAACCTAGTAAAACTTTATGAAAATGATGAAAATATGCTTTTACTTTTCTGTACATGTATAATAAACATGATTTGTATTTTATCATTGTCTCAACCTACTTGTCTCTTCTTTCCCTTGCTAGTTTGCTTCCCTTTGAGCTTGAGAAATAGCAGCATAGGACAGAGACTATGGACTGCTTTGGGTAATTAGAGTGGAAATCTCATTGTGCCTAGAGAGAACAGCAATAGAGGAAGATTCCAAAGTGGTCATTGGATGGATGCTTACATGCTCAGATGAACCATGGGGTTTATGGTTTTTCATTAGGGAAGCTAGTTCTCTGGCAATACGAAATGAGCAGCTTATTCAGATGGATTCCCAGGTCATCCATCTCTACCTTGCTGATATCTTGGCTAGTGGAGGCCTGGAGATGGGTGCTCTGTTTTATAAATGTACTTGTCAGCCTGTTGGTGTTCCCCTACCTTATCTTTGTCATGATGAGGATTAGGGATTATGCCATCATATTAGCTTCTTTTATCAATACTCTTAATCTTTTAGAAAAGTTGATATTCTAAAATATTGTTTTTGTTAATTTCATTGGCTATAGAGATCTTACTTGAAAGAAATTTGTTTTTGCAGGACTTTGGCTATGTTCAGACCACTTCTACTGAAGTGTTGAAGTCTTATGTATTTAATGAACCAATTGTGGTTGAGGCTGCACGTTTGCCCACCCTTGGCCCTGCTGCCATGTTTATGGTATTTTAAGTTATCAGATCAATTATATTCATACACATATTCTTTATGGTATACATTTTGATTGTCGACCTGCGCTAATTCTGTAATTATTTTCTAATACTTGAATTTCTGCAGCAAGGAACAAAAAAAATGCCAGGGACAGCTGTTACAAAATCTGTTGTAGCAAATGAGCCTGGGGGAAGAAAGAGGGAGGAAATATTTGTTGACATAATTGAAAAAATAAGTGTGACTTTCAGCTCTAGTGTGAGTATTTTGCTTTCATTAGATCAATTTCATGAGCATTTTATCCTAGTGATGCTACATCTCTGATACTATCAATCTTTAAGAAAATTAAACAAATGCTGGTCAAAGAATTCATCCTTAATGTCTTACAATTTAAAAGAATAATGTTGAGGAGAAAAACCAACATGTTGGTCAGTTAATAGTTTCAT